CAGGTAGTATTTATGCATATATATAGCTTTGTATATTTTATTATCAACAAAATACTAAACTTATGGAAAAATTGTAATTGAGGAATATAAATCACAAGTTTATGTCCTTTGAATGGTTTGAAAGTTATGACAAATTGATATAAAGACCGGAAACCGTTTATTTGAAGGGTACATTATTTTTGTCTGTATTCTTTTAAAAAATCATAATATTATTCCAATAATACTCATAAAAAATAGTAAAACAGGTTTTGTATCACTAAATACACATTATATTTTCATATTATGCAATTTAATAATAAAGGAAAATGTTGCACAAATTTTGTCTGATGATGATTGGTCTTATTCTATGATATTTATTTGAATGAAGTTAATATTGCAACTATTTTAGTATTTTTTTTAAAAAGTTTTCTATGTGCAATAATTGAATCCCAATACTGGAAGAATGGTAAATTTTCTGAAAATAATGTCTCACGTGTGACTGGTCGATAGCTCTTTCTTAACTAACTGAAACATGTTCGAGCATTTGTTGATTAGTCATTCATTTTATTTTTATACTTTGCCTGTTAATAGATTGCTGTCCCAAAGCGCTTATTTCGAGAACTCCGATTTCATGGTTTATTTGTTTGTTGTAGCTAACTATTTGAAATACAGTTTTTTATTATCGGAACCTTTTCATGGTTTTGATGTGGATCATAATGTAGAGCTAGTGAACAGCTGTGGTCTTTTCATAGCATTCAGCTTATCATTTGCTAGATAAATTCTTCTTCACAGATATAAATTTTCTTGATGTTGTCCCATATGTTTGAAGAATACGGGACTTCCTATATCCAATTACTGGTTTCCACTATAAATGCGCAATACCAAAAGACATCCGGAATTGTGTAAGAGGAAATTTTCATTGATGTGATCTAGCATTTGTTTGTCAGCAAAACATGACGCAAATGTATCTGATGGATCTTTTTCCTTAGGCAATAAAATACATCTCCCTTGGACCGTAGAGTTTTGATGCGATTCATGAAGATTCAATGTTTTGCTAGCAGTAATGCTCATTTCACGCTTCTGACAGCATATGAACAGGATTACCTTAAACAGAAAGTTCTGAATACCGACAAGAAACTTACGATGAAGAGAATAAAATTTCGATCACCGGTGCACTTAATTTACATATACGAGCTTTAAAAGATATTTTATCCCTGTCTCTGTATCCGCTGTCTCCTTTTTTTTATTTTTTTTATTTTGTTGATACATAGATTATTAATTTGATGTATGTATGTAAAACAGATGGGGCGTGTTATTATTAGCCTACTACCCGTCATTACGCGTGATAATCAAGGTTCTTCTGTATTATGTAAATTCGCGAGGCGCGGGCCGTGTGCGCACGCCCCGCTCCGCCTCGCCCCGCCCCGCTCCGCCTCACTCCGCGTCACTCCGCCTCACTCCGCCCCGCCCCGCATCGCTCGCACGACCTTGCGCCCGAGGAGCCGCCCAGGAAGCGGAGGCGCAGGAGGAGGAGGAGGTGGTGGAGGTGGCGGAGGCGGAGACTTAGGCGGTGGCGAAGGAGGAAACGAGAGAGGAGGAGAAGCTGGCGGAGGAGGAGGAGGACGAGGGGGCCGTGTCAGCGGCAGAGACAACGGAGGTGGACTAGTGAGCAGAACATCGTGTTCAGGCCGCCGATGATGGATGTTTCGCCTTGAGATTCCCATTGGTTTTGCTTGGGATACAAGTGCACGAGATGAATGCGCAGGTGATAGAGAAGGTGAACCGGCGAGGACGTGATGTTGGGTGAGCGGGCAGATGAGCCGGCGCATGGGGGTGGGTGAGTGAGCGGGCGGATGAGTGGCCGGGAGTGGGATGGTGACAGCTGATTGATTGTTAGTCATGCCTACGGTCATTAGTCCCGAAGTGTAGCGCATGTTTTTACTTGGAAGGTGGCGGTGGTCTTTCCCTCGCTGTATGACGAGATCCGGCGCCGACCTACGTCGGCTAGCAGGGTTTACTCAACCAGGTATCTCCCATCAGCGTGGCACCACCCTAACCGAGACAAACTCTAAGCTCCCGACCGGTCTCCCAGCATGTGTGCTTGTGTAGTGCGTGTTAGTGTGCGTGTTAGTGTGCGTGTAAGGGGAGGATAGGACAAGGATGAGATAGGAAAGATGCTCGCGTGATCAGTTGAAGGTTAAAGATTGTCCCGGGTGAGGTGGTGCCCCACTGGTGTGAGACAGATGGAAGGGGAAAACCCCGCTCACCGTCTTGTAAGTCGGCACTGGATCTCGTCATCGATCAGAGGGTTAACCCCTCCATCTCCCGTGATAAATGCACTAGACTTACGGAACTAAAGACCGTTGTCGTTGACGCGCGCGGAAACCCAAAATAATCCAGCAATCAAACCGACATTATGAAAGGCACGGCGTGGGAGGGAGAGGGTGGGCGGGAAGGCGTGCGGGCGGGCAGGATTACGGGCGGTGGGGCGTGCGTACATTCACGCGAGCGGCGAGTCTGACAAGGTCGATCGCGATGTTGTTGAAGACAGCGGGGATTAAGTCGCTCGTTTAGACCCAATCTGCGAGTAATTCTTATATCTTGAAGTACATAATATAAAGTAGGAGATTTCTCCATTTGACAGTGCACCCAATTTGGAGAAAAGTGATTGATATTTGATCGTTGAACTTCAAAAGGTTTAATCACTCCCTTAATATTGGTAATTCCAAGCTTTGTATTTCAAGTCATCGTTTCTCCACAATTTAAACGAGATTCTCATTGTTTCACGGTAGTTGTCCGGTCAGAACATACTCATAAAAACAAGCAAGGATTGAAGACTAGAGGAAAAGTATTAAATATAATCAATATGAACAATCGTATATAATTGGCAAAATGTTTCTCATATCTACACGGTGTAAAGGATTTGAGAAGTTATTAATTTGTGTAACTTAATATACCTCCATATATGCACGTGCGTAGATCACCGGGACCTTCTTGCCTGAGGGAGTTATTCTTACAATCTGTTACTGTCTTGATTGCGCCTAACGAATACGTACTTCGCCGTAAATAAATACTCCTTAATGAATACACCAAATCCTATTTGCTAAGCTTATCTCGTTTCTTTCTTGTAAGAGCAACCGCAAAGTAGCGGCCGCAAGTGCTTGGGTGCCGAATGGGGCGGTCGTGGCAACGGTGGCGGCGATGGGTGGGAAGGCGCACAGTGGGGTAAATTTTCGAAACGCTGTCCAAAACATCAGTTGGACCACAATTTCAACGCATTTTATATTATTTTATGTATAAAAGCTTGCGATGGTGAATAGTGTATATCGTGTCAAATCATCTCAATTGATAATGATTTAAATGTTACACACGTTTCTGTACAAATTTGCGGAATACTAACTATGAAAAGAAATTTAACGACCGGTCTATGTGTTAAAATTAGCCACAAAACAAAGCCAAGAAGGATAGATCCAAGAAAACTTTTTACACAGAAGAACCCACAATAAATTGTGAGCCTGAAGACTTTGCGATCAGGCTTTTGCAATGCCATTCAGCAAATTGTTGAAACTTTTACTAAGCTACTACTATTAGTAATAATGATGAGGATAATAATAATAATAGTAATAATAGTAATAATAATAATAATAATGATTATTATTATTATTATTATTATTATTATTATTATTATTATTATTATTATTATTGTAAAACATTTGCCAGCTATGAGCAATGCCCATCTAAATGCTTCTGTAGATCTGCCTCACCTAATTGTCTTCTTACGGCCTTATCAATCAATCGAAACACCAAATATAAGATTTTATCATTGCATAGCGATATTCCTACAATGGTACCTACGTGCGTACTTAAACGCTTACTACAATTTATTTTATAAAGAACGTGAAATATTTCTATAACACTTGTATTAATTACATTTTCACGAGTGTTGCCACCTACTACATTCATGATACTCCTTTTTTAGGACATGGTTATTTAATACTACTTACTATTGCCGAAGGCATTTATTGACTACACTGACTACATTGACTACACTGACAAATTACATACACTGACGAATCTAAAGATTGATCAATAAACAGAATAATTGATTGGAATTGATTGTAAAAGGTAGATTACAATACAGCACAAATTATTCATAGTTTTTAATATAATAATAATTTTATTTACAGGCACAGGCATTGCCACGATCAGAATGTGGTTTTCTGATCTTAATGTGGTCGTTGTCTTTGTCGCGATGCATGGAATTGTACGATGCGTTCATCAAGAGAGTAGTTCATCTTTGTGTTGGGTAGTTAGCCTGAATCTTATTTTTAGTACTTCCATAGACATTTATGTATTAAACATGTCTAAATCACCAGATTATCATCAAAGATACACATCAACAGAGAACCAATGGAGATAATTTGTTAAGAAACAAACTCAATTACAGTGCAAAATCTGTATAACGAAACACGAGGAACTCAGTACTTATTTCGTTACAGAGGGTTTCCTTTCTATGAAGATAATATATGAAGATATTAAAACCCCAGCCATCCTGGCCGGGGTTTTCGTGGTTTCCCGCAGACATCCAGGCGAATGCTGGGATGGTTCTACTAAAAGGCCACGACCGCGAAACCGGCGTCGCTAGCTGAATTCGTTAACTACGTGAAGGCACGAAAGTTAAGTGAATTCGAGGCACCGCGGGTTCCTCATCGGATGACCGAGGAGGAACCTCGGGATCTACCGGTGGCGAGGCCAATTACCCTTTACGGGATTTATAATGGCTAAATACAAATACAAAGAAACAAATCAAATTATTCAAATTTATCATTGATTTTCTGAGGTTTGGATCGCTGGTGCGGCATTTGGGCCCACTGCGGTGGCAGTCGCCACCGCCGCCGCCGCCGCCGTTAAGGCGGCAGGTGCCGCGGAGGCAGGGCAGCACAAGGCAAGGCAGGGCGGGACGCAGGACGTGACGGCGGCGTGCGTCTGGGCTGTTGCAGGTGTGGCGCTTGGACCTGGTCATGGTGATCCTGTTCAAGGCCATCCCCTTGGAGAGCACGGACGGCGAGAGACTGGAGAAATCTCCGGAGTGCGCCCATCCAGGCCTCTGCGTCAACCCTTACCACATCAACGTATCCGTCCGGGAGCTGGATCTTTACCTCGCCAACTTCATCAACAGCCACGGTGAGTGAGGATTCTGACCCCTTCAGTACGGTGGCGGGAGGTTATGGACTGTTGTCGGGTCTCCGTGGACTGTCAGTCGTCTCGGGTGCAAACTTTCGTTCATCAGTTGTTTCCCATTTAGTACTTTTGAATTAAACAGAAATTTTCATGGAAAACCTTCTCGTCGAAAAAGATTTTGACGTGTCTGCATATGTGCTTCACCTGTTTCACAGTGGGATTCACTATTTTATGTGCGTGTTTCCTTTAAAATGACAGCGTTGTAAATATTGTAATATATTTTCAAAAAGCAAACAGAATGATATCTCTAATCGCGTATACCCAAATTAATTTAGAGAGAATATGTCTTGATTCTTGACTATTATGATTTATTGTATCAATAACGAATAGTGTGCATTTAATCATTACCTGTTGATAAATCGGATACATCATTCAAGTATAAGTACTTGAAAAATCGCAATTATACTTTAAATTTGCACTGATTTTATATCAGTGTCTAGTCGTTTACTCAAGTGTTTTTGTGGCATAAATAAAACGCTTAGGCTGTGTAATGGTTACCAAATATCGATATTTTGTCCCTTTTTTGTTGCGAAAGCTAAAACAACAACAAAAAAAGAAAGAGAACATTTGTGGCAGAAAGAAATTTTCGGATACAAATTTATCATAGGAAATTTTATGATGAAATTGCAAACATCATATTCTTTACATCTTATTAGAAATGGATGTCAATAAACGAAAAAGGATGTATAGCGTTTCCTGCAACCGTATGTTTTGCTAATCATGACATTTCAAAATACTCTTGTTTATCTTCTGCAGAATCTACCAAAACGTCGTCTCGTTTAATTTGAAAGTAAATTATCGCGATTTCTCAAAGGTGACTTTAGGAATTTGCATGCTATTAAAGAGAGTGTTGTTGCGTATACACGCAGAGTTATCAGAAAACGTTCTTCAACGTATTGCTGCTTTTGGCTAACTAATTGTGCCTTTTCCAATGGCTAAATAGAAGTCGTGAACGACAGTCGCTATATGTTTCTCAGTCTTACTCGAATGTATTCACATACAAGGAATGCCGTTATTTTCAACCTACTTTGCGAACTGGTATTGAATATTTGAATAACGCATATGTATGACTTGTGCTGCAGAAAATAAGTCCACTGAGTTGACCCGTTGGCCTTGCTCCGGTCTGGAAATAAATGACGGAGACTTCCCTGAAATGTGTGCAGTTCCAACGCGTGATTTTTATCTGACATTAGAATATTGGCTTCCATATTCGTTGCCTTCCACGCCCTTTTGCTGATTGGGAATTAGTTATAAACTGTCATTGCTTAACTTCCGTAATTAACAATAATAGTTACCCCAGACAGTTGGCATTGGAATATTTTCCGATTGAAAAGCATGTCCAAGTCTTCCTAACCTAGATTTTTTGTCCTGACTTGAATTTATTACTGAAGTGACTGTTCATATTTCAATCGACCTCGTTAATTTTTCTACATTCTGTATCTTTGGTTGTATGAAAACCGGAAGACTTCCTGAGTGTTACATGAACAACTCAACGTATTGCGCTGTCGTAATGCAATTGCAAAGTGCACTTTCAGATACTTAAAATTGATCCACAACATGTGTCATTGTTCAAGATGAAGAAAAATGACGCGTAACGTATATTTAACAATATATTGTGTGAACGCCCATCCAATCAATGTCTGAAAACCACAAATTTAGAACAATATTTCGCATATTTAAAAGAATTTATACTAACGATGCAAGTGTCCTTCATAACTAAAATTGGCAAAGGAAGAAAGTCGACTACATAATGTTCAACAAAAATGAGACCTGGGGGAACTATACAGTTCTTATGAACATACTTTGCTCTATTCGAGAAAAAGAAACAAATGGCTGTTTTAGAAAAGAATCTTCTTTGTAAATTGTTTTATTTCACGCGAAATTACACTCTGACTCCACTTTCAAAAAATTGTATTTTAAAGATCTAATTTTGAAGAAAAGTTTCATTAAGAAAAAATCTTTATTTTCAATATTGTAGTTGTAGTCGAAAAAAAAGATTTAAAAATTAAAAAAAACATAATTACTATTATATTTATTATTTGTATTTCTATCATTAGTATTTTGAAACGATTTGGAAAGATATATGCAGCATTTGACATATTTCATGACATTTTTTCCACTTTTAACTGACACGTAAACTCTATTTTCAATTATACTTGTTTGCATTTTTGTTTTCTTGCGAGCGTCAACTAACAAGGGTCATCCACGGAATCGAATCCAACAAATTGCTTGGAAATTTTACTGAGTTATGTTGAAAATATCACAAACAACTTGAGAAAATTACCATTCCTACATGAAAATATTCTTTTTATATTTCTGTGACACAGAATTTTTCACAGAATATTTCTGTGAAGCAGAAGGCATTGAAATGTAAAAGGAAGACGCTGAGCAAAAATTTCACGGTTTCAATTTAAAAATTAGAAATGTGAAAAAAACAGCATCTGTATTTTGTTATTTATATGACAACATTCTAAAAATAATCAAATTACTTTTGTCTTATTAGTAATATTTTGAAATATCGTTAGGAACATTTGGCATCCGCACCCCCCTTCAGTTACCACCACTCACTCGGGTAATCAGGCAATTTTACCTTTTCATTAAAATTAAAGATAAAACAATTATATTCCCTACGCGTTCATTTAGCATTCTGCAACTCGAATTTTTACAACATGTTTTTAATATTTTAAATATTACGAAGCAACATTTTGAAGCAATCCTCAATGTTCCTTCTGCGAAGGTTTCTTGTAGGACGATCCTTATTTCTTCTCCTCTCATCTACGACTTCCGACCTCTACTTGAAATGTTCTCTCCAGGATAGCCCCTCCGCTATTCCGTTCACACACGCTATTCCACTACTCGTCGCCGCCGCTATTTTTTTCGGAAGGGCCTTGTCATCGGCAGTTCGAGTCAATCTCCAAATTTCTCGGAGCTTCCGACCCTCCTCTCCCCCCGCCTCGGCAGGCAGTTGTGGAGTGAAAGCGAGGCCTCGAGAGGGCTTATCGACCCGTCGATAGCGCCATCGGCAGAGTGAAATACGGCGCCGTTGTTGAGGGAACGGCGCGCAGAGGGCAAATGGAGGAGAAAAATTAAGAAAGCGCTCTCCTCATTCCGTAAAAGCCGTTGGGCGGCGGTGGGATGGGTGGGGGAGGGAGAAGATGGTCCTTGGGCACGCCCGTCTTTCGGCGGACGTACGCAAAGGGTTTGCGAGTGGGAGATATTGTAGGGGTTTGGATAGAGACACAAGGCTGGCGCATCACTGCGGGAAACTGTCGCAGTAGCAAAACTTGCGGCTGAGATGTTTGGCATTATCTCGGCGTCCATTGGCAATAGACTGTTGACTACCACCACAGGGTCACATTAGCATGTCACTAGAATTCATAATAAATATCGTTACATTGTTAATGTGTTACGGTTACCGTATTTGATTGTTAATCTTAAGTTCGCGGGTTCAAACCCAATCGAAGCCGTGAAGTTTTAAGGGGTAAAATCCTTCGTACGGCTTCTTCGGAGAAGTAAAGCTGGATGTCCCATGTTGTAAAGTTACTGCCTGTAAAGTATTCTAAAGTCCAAAAGAAGCTTTTCAGCTCAATTCAAATCGCCAATTTTGTCGCCCAAGTGATACCTTCTTTCTTCGCTAGTTGTTGAAAGAGTGTAGCGAAATTTGTGGGGTCAGACGGAAGAGCAAGCCTGATGGCCTGAGTAGGGCTACGTAAAATAAGGCATCATTGGAGGAATATCACGGCCATCAATACTACACAAAGTATTGCGCTTCGTTCGATCTAAATATTTTATTGTGCCTGTTATGTCCTCTGCCGGCGGATGTACGCAAAGGACTTGTGGATACTTTTAACATTTAAATGCAAACATAGCTGACGCAACGCGATGGAAAACATGTAGTAAAACTACGGGTAAAATGTAAAAAAATCGGGCCACGGACCATGTGCAGTTTCTCTTTCCTATTCCTTGTCTATTCTATATTCACCCCTTACTTATACTTACATGCACTATATTACCACACATGTCAAGTCCACTCGGGAACACCTGTTGGTATGAATGCTTACAGCTTGTCTCCCTTGAGGTTGTTCCATGCTAATGGTAGATACCTGGAGGAGAAAAACCTGGCGTGTAGGCTCTGTGTGTCACCATCCAGCGCCAGAACACCGGCACTTCCTGTGATAAAAACATTATTTACACTTACGGGAGTAATGACCATAGCAGTTGCGCGCCCGCAAACAGGAAATAATAAATGAATTAATTAATCAAAATAAGAGCCGGAGTCCGTCGCACAATAGCTTTGAGCAGCGTTGAATAAGTAGTTGCCGAAGGCAGTTGATCCGGTAAAAGGCATCCACTAGATGGTTTCACTCTGAGGTTGTGAGGTGGTTGGCTTGTCATACCACGTACGACAAGGCATTCGAGTATCATCCCTTCCATTATCATTCATCTCTCACCCTCAAATCACCTACACAAACCGTCATATAGTAGAAGGAAAGGGGAGGGCATAAACGCGTAACTGGAGCTCTTATTTCCAAAGAGACGTGTTTTAATGAGTCATAATTTTCGGAAGGAGAGGAAAGCGCATTCAGCTCTAAAAGTTCAAGATTCATCAGATTTTTCGAAACCTTTTAACACTAGAGAAACGCAGTTTTGAATCACATTTGGCAGCATGATGGAGAAGCATCTTATGAATGTGTTAAACGAAGGTGTTGAAGAAATATGATGTGTGTGTGTGAACGTAAAACTAAAAAAATAAAGAAAATGGAGATACGTCACTTTGAAAATACGTCATATACCCCCTGCCGAATGCCCTGTGTTCAGAACAGTTCAGCCTTGCTCACACCCGAAAATAAGGGAGAAGCTAGTGGTGCTAAAACAACACGTACTTTTCCCCTCGTATTTTCACGAAAAAAATACGCGAAAAGTACTCAAATTTTCGAAAAATT